TTTACCAGAACCTTCTTTGTAGTTAGTTAGCAAAATGAATATTTTCAGATTTCATTTCGAAATATTTGTATTAATTTTGATCTTTATAATATTAGTTGAGGTACGGAAAATACTCACCACAAATTTTCAGAATGGAAAAATCCAGCCAGTTGTGACTTTCCTCCGAAAGCAACAGCATCAGGAGGAAAGCTCAAACAGAAATTTTCGTGACACCAAAATTTTCCAGTCGCACCACAGCCTGTTTTAGTTTCGTCCAACAATAAATATATTCCACATTTCTTGGCTAGTTCTTGAAGCTTCTTGAAAAATTGTGGAGATGGCGACTCGGTACATTCGTTTTGAATCGGTTCCACGATTATTCCAACGACAGGCTTATCTTGAAAATCAAAATTGTTTATTTCAGATGAGATGAAGTAGAAAGAGAATCATTTTTGAGATTCAACAATATATGAAACTAGAAAAGCATTCTTCATTACTGATATATAAACATAATAATTTCTGGGCACGGTGTCGATTCTACTCTCATAGATTCCATTCGTTTTCATATCCATTTATTTTTTCCAGCTTGAACAAATACAGGGTGTTTCCTAGCTACGGTACGAAACTTCACAGAGTGATTCGTAAGGTCGTTTTAAGAAAAAAAGTTGCTTATTTACATATGTCCGGAGTTGCTTCGTTTCTGAGATACAGAGCGTTGAAGTTTAGAAAAAACGGTATTCATAAAATATCATGAATATCTTTACACCGATTTGGTTGAAATTTGGTACAGTTATTTGAAGTAATAAAACGCTTATTTAGCCCCAACTATAGTGAAACCAATAATGATTGAGAGTAAAGCGCGTTGTCATATCTAAATTTTACGTTACCAGTTTATAGCAGAATCAAAATATAGTAAGCAGTAGAGTTGTAGGTTGTGGCAAATTATAGATAATACACAATACTAGTACGATTAAAAGGTATTATTTATGACAAAAATCAGTAATGAGCTTGTAATGAGTAATACTTATACATTTCCTGATTACTGATCAGTTAAAATTCATTATTTTCTGTATAGTGTTAGATATTTATTACAACTAGTGGCAACGCTGTACGCAACGATATTTCTGTCTTTGTCACTTTAC